GGCAAGGCCAACTTCAACTTGGAAGAGCCGCAGAAGTTGGCCGCGTACCTGGAGTATGCAGACATCCGTCTTCTTCGCGTCGAGTGCCTCGTCCCCCCACTGACACGGAGCCCATGCACGTAAGCGTCCTTCACGGGCCGTAGGGTCGTGGAGTTGAACGGGAGAGAGTTGATGACGGGCCTTGCTTTCTGTGATATTTTCATTGTGGCGTGGCGCCGCAGGTACCTCTACGAGCTGTTGCGTCAAAAGAGGCTGCTGCCCCGACGCCAGGAAGCGGAGTGGGCCTTAGGCCTCATAGGCCTGTTGAGATCATCCTGTTGCCGGCCGTTGCTTGCGTCCACCCCGCGCCGAGGAAGAGTGGGGCCTCGTAAGCCACGAGGAGGTGAGTGAGTGGGCGGCGGGGACCCGAGACGCGATGCTCATTTCAGTTTCGCATGCCTGGGAGACCCGTCAGCACCCGGATCCCTGCGGCGACCAGTTGAATCGGCTGGTCAGCGGCTTAAGAATCTACGATGATGCCTATGTTTCTGAGATCTGGGTATTTTACGATTATGTATCCCTCTTTCAATACGAGCGGCAGACAGTCGCGGAATACGAGAGCTTTCGCAGAGCCATGCGTCACATGCATATGTGTTACGCCCACGAATGCAACTGGACCGTTCGCTTGGAAGCTCTCACTCCAGACGACGTCTGGGACGCCGCACTGCAGAACTCGGAGCATCTTGTGAGGGTGTATGATGATGAGAGCAAGACCGTGCGAGGCCTCCCCCTCAAGGAGCTAATGCTCAACCGCGTCCCTTATCGGGACCGCGGGTGGTGCAAGGCAGAGGTGGAGTGGTCCTCTTGCAGGAGCAGGTCCGAGCAGAACCAGTGCCTCGACGCTCCGGGCTCCGAAGTGAATTCCGAAAGCGAGCTCAAGGGCAAAGTCCCCATGGCTCCCGAGGTCTTCCAAGAAGACATTAGGAGAGCCGAGTTCACGCATCGGAACGATGCCGGAATAGTGCAGAGGCTGCAGCATGAGATTTACTACGAGAAAGTCTCAGCATCCACCCTCCATTCCACTCGTACAAAGGGACACAGCGCCCGTAATCCTTGTTTCTTTTTAACTCACCTCGTTGCTCAATAGTAGTCAGGGACCTTCAAATTCAGGGGACCAGAAGGTTTAAATTCGCAACACACAAGCTGTGGAAACCTGTGGGGGAATAGTGCATGTTTTTCCTTCTGCCCTGCCATTCAACCTAGAGGGGGCGAAGGGGGACGCAGTCTTGTATTCGTTTGGCCGGAGCCTTACTTGTTCTGCTGTTTGGCAGGTTGCGCCCCCTTGCCTATGAACATACCTCTGGGGAACTTTTCTTTGCTTCCTTGTATAGCCGAGCCCTCCGTGGGAACACCCACTGGGGGAGAGTTAGACACCCGACGGACCGCGGGTGCGCGCTCGCGCGCGAGCTTCAGGGTTGAACCACCCTGGGGCTCCTGCCTGGTAGAGAGAGAGCCACCAGAGATTGGTCCACCCGACAATAGGCAGGAACCCCCCTTTTTCCATGTTTTCGGGAGCGTACTGGTTGTCAGCCGTTGTTACATTTCTTCAAACGAGCAAAGGGGGATGCCCTGATCTTCCAGTAACACAACGACGACCGGGGAATACCCGCACTACAGCCGCGGGAGACCTGGTTGAAAGTCATGGACAAACGAGCAGGATCCCTCGACCTCAACGTTTGCCCAGTACGTTCAGTTACTTTGTGGTGTATTGCTTCGACGAGGGGGACTGCCAGTCGGGGACAGCTCAACAAATCGTACCTTTTCGCTTCTTCCTCGATGCTGTAGTTTTAGGGTACGTGGGATGCTGTGGTACGTCTAGGTACGTAGAGCTGTCCTCGCCGTTGCCCGAACTGCCTCCAAAGCCCCACAAACATTGGGGGGCCCTAAGGGCCGAGGGGACTTGCACTCCCCTCAGACCCGAAGGAAGAAGAAGAAGAAGAGAGAGGCGGGTGCGTATTACACGGATGACGAAACCAGCCTTTATAGTGCGTGAGTGCTTCACTATCCTCCAACCGCAACAGGCGGGGGCGCCGACACGCGCGCGGGTAGGGGAACTTCCCCTGCCCACAACCCTGACGAAAGAGAGAGAGGCGGGGGCGCCGACGCGCGCGCGGGTAGGGGAACTTCCCCTGCCCACAACCCTGACGAAAGAAAGAGAGAGAGAGAGAGAGAGAGAGAGAGAGAGGGCAGGGGGGTTCCCCTTTGCCCATAACCCTGCCGAACGAAAGTGAGGGTGCAACACAGCCCCCCTGTGAAAAGAAACTGGTGGCATCGTTTGGACTTTTCTGCGTACTTGTTGCAGATATGACAGAGAGACAAGCGGGGGAAATTCGTTTGGGAGTACTGAGCACGTGTCATTGAGATTGTACGTTTGTCATACTCTCGTTATCGTGGACTTTGTGGCATGAGCCTCCTGACAAACTATAATCGTTCTTCACTCTCCGAAAGCCCCAATAAAACATTGGGGTGGGCAGTTTGCCCGGGGACGTTGACCGGTCGCTATGCCCTGGAGAGAGAGAGAGAGAGAGAGAGAGAGAGAGAC